CCAGGCCAGGGATGCAGTTCAGTAGCACCACACCTGCCTCGCAAGCACAAGGTCCTGAGTTCGATCCCCAGAACAACAACAATATATATATATACATGTATATCAACCCCCAAAGAAATGTTTGATATGAGTAATTGAGAATGATTTAAAATTTGTCTTATAGCTCAACTTCCCTAATCCTTTCTTTCCAATTTGTAAAAGCGGTGTAACTTCATTTGGAATTCTGTTATGGAAACCCAAATATCTTCCCCTCCACACTGAATGATGGATCATTAAACCTGTGGAAGACACTATGTTCCAAGAAGGTGTCTGAAATAATGTTCCTTAAGAGTTTTCTCATGCATGTCCACAGGCCTCCCAAAACCTGTCAAAGAAGCACTTGTCCTGTCTTTATAAAACACCCTAAATTCATCCACTCAATCTGGAAAGTGCCAGGCTAAGGGATTCCAGCAAGTAAGTATTTCTTCCACGAGTTAATTAGAAATAGAGCTCCTTGAGTTTAGAGGTGTAATTGTAGAAGGAAATAAAGTGCTCAGGGAGGTAGTTTATTCCCTGCACCTTGGTGATGAGAAAGAATGAGCTGTTTGGAAGGAAGGCCACAGCTTTCTTGTGACTGTCACTGACTGTTTAAAGGTCATAAAGGACAGGCTAATTAAGAATTCAACTTCACACACTCCACACATACCAAAGTAATAGTAGCTAAATTTGTATTATTTTTTCGGACAATTACACTTGCAAAAATCATCATAAGCCTTCCACTTGTTCATATTGGGAATGAACATTTTTCCTGATTGTAGAGGGGGCCAATGACACTCACAAGTCACAACTCTGGCAGATGCCTTCAGGGAAGCAGTTAGTAGCAGTTCGGGTTTGTTTTCAAGTTGAAATTTACTATTGTGTTTATCATTCCTCTCTGACAGCCCCCTCCCTCCACTTCCTTAAGATTTGGCAATCTTGGCTATCAGTACCCAAAATGCCAGGCACAGTGTATCCACTTCTGTGTAACAGGATTTGCAGGGTATTTGGGTCCCTTTCAACCTCAAAGCTTGTGTGAGAGGTGGAGGGACAGGAACAATTCTCTGCCATCAAAATCCTGCACCACCTTTAGAAAGGCTTCTTCTCCTCTCCCTCAAAAGGCAGCAGCCCTGTGGCTGGAGCAGGGGGAAGTCTCGACACCTGTGCCAGGTCTGTGGCAGGTTGGCCTGCCCCCCAGTAGGCAGCTGGGGGTGGAGGGGGAGCAGCTTGGCCCAAGTGCTGCTTAGTCAGGCCCTGACGCCCAGCAGAGCTGCAGATGTGCCCAGACCTGCCACTGCCAGTTGTCTGTGTCTGGGCCGGGAGGTGACAGCACAAGTGTGACTCTTAGCTCCTGGTGTTTCCTGACACTGTCCACAGAGGAATGTGGAGGATGCAGCAGAGGCCACCACAGCAGCTCTCCCCCCAGCCCTACCCCTTTGGACCTTTCCCAGGCCTCCTGCCAACAGCCCCAGGGCAGGCTCCTCCTCCAGGACCCTGGTGGGCTCAGGTGAGAGGGAGCTACCTCCTCCTGCAGGTTACCTGCTTGCCTGCCTGCTGTAATACAGAGTTCCCATCAGTAGTGCCCAGACCTCCTTCCTAAGAGGTATGGGTTGGTTTTGTTGGGGTTTTTTTTAATAGACTGAGTTCCATGATTAAGAATTTTTTCAATTGAAAAATGTCTCCAAGCTCATTTGTCCCCACTGGGGGAAAACTTCTTGAAAAAATCAGTTTCCTAAGAAGACTTTCTCTTTGGTATTTAACAGAAATAGAAACCACTAGAAAGCGAGTTTCTGGGTGTAAATATTGGAACTGTTTACGAGCTCATTTGTAGACTCTGAATCCAACACCACGAGTTTGTGTCTAATCTTGGTATGGATTTTGAAAATTCTGTTCAGAACTCAGGTGGGCTGTGAGCTGTTCTATCAGGAATGATATTCACCCTACAAATAGTTATTATTTGCACACCCACTGTGCACTACAAGCCCAGGTGTAATGGAAATAGCGCTATATAGGAGAGGGTGCTAATGAAGAGCAGGTTGGACAGATTCAGCTAGCAAACATTTTATTTGACTCACTCTGTATTTACCAAAAATTTGAATTAGTTGCCAACTTTTAAATAGTAGAACATTTCCAGCTTCACTTGAAAACTCAGGAAATCTGGCAAAACTGAGCCCACATTCCCAGCTGATGATAAGCAGAGTAACAACTGCCCACTGCAGGCAGGTACTGGCCTTCCATCCCCATACCCCCCCTGCCCACTTCCCCGGACTCAGCCAGCCCAGCCCTTCAGCACTTACAGTCGATTCTCAGGATGGGAATTTGCACACCACACCCACCCTGGAGAGGCCTTGCCCCAAAACACAGCCATCCAACCAAGCCCCTTGAATCCAGAAAGCAGACTCTTGCTTACTTGAGATTAGGGCACAGAAAATTTCTTACTTTGTATCTTTTTTATTTTCCCATTTTTAATAAAGCTTTTTTCTGATCCCTGGTCACGTAAAGTTAAGATGTTCTGTTTTTACCACTTGCTAAGACAAGAAACATAACATGAAAAGAAAACTACAAGGCTGAGGCATGGAAGTAAAAAGTGAGGATTTGGAGAGTAGAGTTTGCTCTCAGGGACGCCCTCAACTGTCACATAAAGAAGCTGAGCACAGAAAAGGGGAAGACAGCCCAGCCCCAACCCAAAAACACCAGTAACATGGCCTGTGCAGGCCTTACGTATTTCTAAGGAAGAGGAGTCCATCAGATCTGGGCAGCAGATATGAGCACCAGTTTCAGAAGTAACACAATACTACGAGGTACATGATTCTAGATGAACCTGAAAATAATTATTATTTTCATCCAGACCCTATTAGTTCCCTACATGTAGGTAAAAATTGTCACATTTGCAAAAATGTGTCTGTGGATCCCACTGTTGTGTGTTGGGAGAGGCAGCCTGTTCTCATGTGCTCAAACTATGTATTACCAAAATCGTGTGTGTGTGTGTGTGTGTGTGTGTGTGTGTGTGTGTAACCAGGAATAGAGTTGATTCTGGTATTTGTTGCTAGTAGTTTTAATAAAACAAATATAATTCAGCTGTAGTGAACATAAAGATAACGCCCAAACCTTCAATTGGGCAGATTAAAGGTATTTAAATGGACCAATGCCCAGGGCTTAGACATTTTAGTGTCATTTTTACCATAAGCATATATGACCACTCAATAACACTACAACCAAGGACTCTTCTAGTAAAAGATTTAATCCCAAAAATCAGTTTTAGGTGCAGCAGAAAGGAAAAGAGGAGAGCAACATTTGCACAACATGCTATTTTATTTATCTCTGCCAGATTGGCCAGAGACAAGGCTTCATATCCTTTTTATAAATGACGAAAGGCAGGCCAAGAAAACTGACTTCCTCTGTCACTTTCTCGTTACTGAGAACAGACCGTGCCCTGGCCATTCACACCCCAAAGCTTGAGCTTTGTAGAAACCACCAAGAAAAGTAATGACCAAAGGAATTAAGACCACAACTAGGCTACAAAAATGCAATAAGCATGGTAAGTGAAGCAGAAACAAGTGCTTGAGGGTCAGGAGAGGACAAGACAGTCGAAGTGAAGGCTTGGTGATCAGGGAAGGCTTCTGAGAGATGGTGACAGCTGAGAATTGTCTTGAAGGAAGCATTGTGTAACAACAGCCAGAGAGGAAAGGAAGAGCAAGAGAGGCCTCTGTCCTTGGGAGTGGTGGAAACAGAATGAAAGGTAAGCAGTTTGGACTGGAAATCGACAAAGCAAAGCTTGGTGTTGACATTAACCATATGAAAAGTGAATCTTCCCCACAGGGCAAGGCTAATCATCTGAGGCCAGGCAACTTCATGCCTCTAGCCTCGCATAGGCGCAGGGCACTGGCCTGGCCGGAATGCCAGGTATGTGAGAGCTGCCAGTGGAGGGGTCAGAGCCTCCTGGCCCCTGCAGCCCAGACACCCATACTTTCTTGTGTGCCCTGCTCTCTCACTTCCCCCCTGAGGGCTTCTGCCCACCTGTGCCTACCAGAGCCAGAACAGCCCCCTATCTGACTGGCTGCAATCACCACATGCTCCCTTCCACCTCACAACTGTGGAAGGAACAGAGAAACGGCTTTTTCTCCTTTCCCAAGCAGAAAAGCAGGTGGCTAAGGTAGAGGGAGAAATGCCCTGCACACCGCGTCTAGCCTTGGAGTCCTTTCAGAACTGGAAGGAAGCAAGAGGGGAAGGCCTCATTTCCTTTAGTTCTGGGCCTGCCTGCTTCTGCAGCCATGGGCCACCTCTACGCCCTGGACTGAAGGGTCCTCTGTCCTCAGGCTCCAGAAGACAGGCCCTCGGGGGGAGCCGCCCCACCTCCTCCAAAGTGCCAAGCTCTGATTCGGTTTTGCAGTGCCCTAGATTCCATGTTACCCTCACCATCCAGTAAGGGGGAAAACAACTGAAGCTACTGAGGCTCAGGGCGCAGTCGCAGTCAGCTGTCCGGGGGAAATGGTGAAGCCGGGGTACAGAGAGGAAAGGGGGCGACCAGGTCTTCTGGACATGCGGTTTCCCCAGTCTTCTGCCGCCAAGGGACCCGAGGGCTTCTGTGGGCGGGCAGGAGGCAGAACTCATCGGCTCAGGAGGAGTGGGGAGGACAGGAGCGGAGCCAGGGCACCGGGGCGCTGTGCTCCCGGGAGACAGACACGGACACGTCTTCGTCTCGCTGACAAGTGCCTTCAAGCCCGGCGGGGAGATACCTCCGCGGTCCCCGGGGCCACGGCCTGCCCACTCCGCCGGTCCCGCAGTCGGTCCGCAGGGGCAGGCGACGACCCCAGACCGCGGAGAGGGCGGGCGAGGGGGGCGCAGGGGAGGGGTTCCCCGGGGCGCAAGACGGGCGGGCTCTCCAGACCCTGGGAGCAGGGGCGCGGGGCGCGGGGAGCAGGGGCGGGGTCCCCCCGGGCGCAGGCGGAGGCGGAGCCGCCCACTGCCGACGGCGAGCGCGCAGCGGCGCAGCGGGGCACACGCGGGCCGGGCCGGAGACGCGCGCCGCACCCGGGAGCCGGGAGCCGCAGGATGGCCGAGGTGAGGACGCCCAGCGGGCGGGGACGCGGACCCGGGCGCCCGTCCGACCCCTCTGCTTTTCACTTTTCACTTCACACAGCTAAGCGGCCGCGGTCCCCGCCTGGCTTCTCTGGAGCGCCAAGTGGAAGGGGACCGTGGTCCCCCGTGAGGCGCCACGGACACACGCGAGTGGGGAGGGCAGCGGTCCGCGGAACCGACTGTCCTGTGTTACTGAAGTTTCAGAAGGGGCCTCGGCGAGCGGCCCGCGATCGGGCCCTGCGAGGCGCGTGAACGCGTGGGCGCAGCTCCACCCCGTGACCGTGACCATGACCCATGGCACTAGGGACGGCGTGGCGGTGTCCCCTACCCGGGGCACGCGGCCGAGCTCCTTGCCGGGTACGAGGCGGGCGGGGAGGGGTGGCAGAAGCAGGGTCGGGAAGGTCGCCGTCCCCCGTGGCCAAGCGTGGGGGCCTCGCGCCCCTTCGGCTCCGGGTGACAAACTGCGGGCAAGGACCCAGAGGGCTGGGCCTGCGCTCAGAGCCCGCGGCCAGGCTTTCCCGGGCGTGGGGAGGGACTGTTCTATCCGGGTCAGCGTGACTTGGTGGCGGGGCGCACGGGCTGGGTGACAGTTCCAGGGAGGGCAGCCGGCAGCCGCCAGTGTGTGGGGCTTGAAGCTGTGTGTCGTGAGGGAGACCGAACTGACTCCTCCAAGTCGGTCAGATGCCTAGTGTCTGCCCCGCCGTTGCTATTAACACTTAAGGGACCTGAATGAGGCTGGGTGTCCTGGGATCCCTGCAGACTGGCGCGTGTGTGTGTGTGTGTGTGTGTGTGTGTGTGTGTGTGTGTGTAAACATATGCGACTTCATGGGACCACAGAGCAGATGTAGCAACATTTATTTAAACTATTTAAAAATACATTCTTTTTATCTTCTCAGTCCTTTTCTCAAGCGACAAGATTTTGGCTTGACAATATAAGTGGATTAAAAAACAGCATTTGGCAGATTTCTTTTTTTTTTCTAGTGTCCTTTCATTCTTTGTGTTTTGTCTTGCTGTTAGATTTTATAAGATCTTTTAAGAGGATTCCTTAGACTCTTGAGTTTTCGAATAATGTGTTTATGTATGTTAGGACTTTTCTTCAGTGATGTACAGTACCGTGTTAAAACTTTTGCTCCGTGGTAAATGACCTTCGCAATTGTTCCCTCCCAAATTCGTTCATGTATATTTAAACCTCCTTAAAAGTATATGTCAAAATAAAATTTTTGTACATCGTGTAAAAGAATATTACTTCAGATGTTACAAATTGTTCTGGATTTGATTTTTGCTTAAATAGATGTGAAGAGATAGCTGTACCTTTTGCTGTGAGGAATTTTGATAAATAACTTGATTCTTCTTTGCATACTTTCAGACAGTTATAAATAATAAGACATGAGTAGTAATTTAATTTCTTGTCTAATAACTTTTCAAAGTTTAATTTCACCCAGAAACTATTACTATTTCAGCTTAACTCTTGGTCAGACTTGTCCTATTACAGTTAAACACTGAGAAGAGGTAGTGAAATCTTTAGTTAGCATACATGCTGTTCATACTTTGGGAACTCATAATTATGTTCAGACATCTGCGTAGTTTAATTTGTAATATTGTCTGTACACAACACAGTCCCTTCAGACCAGAAAGGATTTAGTGACATGCTTCTCCTTCTTTCCGAGAAAAAATGATTATTAGTTTGAAGTTGTTATTTAGCTGCTGCTATCTACCAGGATGTGAAACGATGATCTGTTTGCTGTTATAATTCACACTTGAAATATTAACCAACATGGAGTAGGTGCCTTAAAAACATCAGGTTTTCAGAGAGCTGTTTTATTTGTTACTACATCTCCTCCTTGCAGCAGTAGGCCTGGATCCCAGGTCATGCACATATTCTGTGCCTCGGGATCATCAGTTTAGAAAGACTGTCCAACTCAATGGATGAGAAAAGCCCTATAGGTTTCCTTATAGAACTAATTATTGTCTGTTAAGCACACACTTAGCATTTGCAATTGCCAAGGGATAAATTTAAGCAGGGGGACATTTTAAAAGTTTGCTTTGTCAGTAAAATTAAACTGCAGTGTATGAAGTGGGGAACAGAGGTGTCTCTCAGCTTTTGTATATGGCTTTAGAAGTTATTTTGGCGGTGGTCATTAAAAGAGTTGCCCTGAAGGTTCCAGAAGGTAAATTACTTGCAGAAGAGCATGCTTCACCCCAGGGCGAATTTTCTCCTCTGCAGATGTCATTTCAAGTGAGTTACTTTTGTCAGAATCAGCCCTTTAAAAATAAAGGAAGAGGAACTAGAAATACCCTCCCTGTGGTGAAATTTCAGTGCTGAGCCACCCTTCTCTTTGGTAGCTAACATCAAGATTTAGGAAGCCAATATACTTTTTTTTTAAATTACCTTATTCAGAGTACTCTACTGCAGAGCCTTTATTTTATTTATTTGTTTATTTTTGATGACATCACTGAGAGAGGTTAAAGATTGGGTTCTATGCAGATGGAGCATCTGGAATGGATTTTTTCCTTGTAAATTGATTTCTACCTGGAAACCCTATTTCTGTTTATCTTGTCATTCTTTGAAGTCCTTTTTTCCTAACTTTGGAAATTCCAAGATTGCAGCATGGCATCATTTCCCTCTACAGACACACAGCTATTTTAGCCAAAGAGAATGGGTGTAAACAGAGCAGTCCTGCTTCTCCAGGGTCCAGTTTGGGATCATCTCAAATTTTGCATAGTTATGGGCAAACAGACTGTCACTCTTCTCGTCCACTCATGGACACATTATTATAAAGTAGCCTGACAAATCTCAGAAGGACCCTATGTTGAGGGAAAATAATTTCCCTCAGCTAATGTGAAGAGAGAGGGAGGTGGGAAGTAAAATGTGACCTGTGTGGAGGAAAATGGTTGCCTCAAGTAATCTCTTAATTCAGGCTTTTAGCATTTTTTCCATATGGTTCTGTTAGTTTGATTGTTCCCTCTTACCGAGTATTTGTGAGATCCTTCCATACACTAAACATGAAAACTGCCGTCCATATCTATACCAGCTTCCAGAAACATTGTCCTTGTTCCATATCCCTCTGATTGTTTCTTGCATTGTTCATTCTGAAGGCAAAATTTTTATACTGCCAACTTTAACATTTCATGATACGCCATGCTGAATTTTAAGACAGGGATCAGGACAGCATAATTAACTAAGTTTGAGCTTGTCTTTTTAAAAAACTGAGTTTTGAAAATCTAGTTCTCATTAAATCCCTAAAATAAGTGTTCATAAGGTTTTACTCAGAGAGAAATGTTCACAATTTCACCTTTATTTTCTATCAACGCCAGTAGCAAAGTGGCATTGCTTATGTAACTGGCCACCTTAGCTAAAATCCTAAAGTTGTTTTGTCATTTCCTCACCTCCACGGGCTAATTTAGCTGTCCCCAGAAGTTTCCTTTACATGCAGTTAATGTCTTTCTGGTTTTATGTAATCAAATGTTTCTAAAGATTTACCTCTGAGGTCTTCCAAATGTAGTTTGTAAAGGAAAAATATATCCCAATCATTTATATTTCAGTATAATTTTTTTTTAATTTTTTAAAAAGAAATGTTCAGTTTGGGTTCTAAGGTAATATTTGCATGTTTTTCTACTTTTTTATATTTTCAGTTTTTAGAACTAATAATTTTAAGAAAAAAGGCTCAGATGTTAAATGTTTTGGCACAGCATTTATACTTTGATTTCTAGACATCAAAAGAACAAGTGTTTTCCCCATCACCTTCTTTGAACTAAGCAACAAGAGAACACTACTAGTATGTCACGCACACTCTCCTCACAGGTAAACTTAGCCCAGCAGCTATCCCTAAAAGGGCTTTTACCTCCCACCTGAGCTTTCTTTTCTAGGCCCTTTTTCATGCCCTTAGCCGTCTTTGACTGGCCTCTCCTTTCATCCCTTACTTGCAGTGAGAAAATAGATTCTGTCCAGTCTCCTTTACTATCATTTTTATGTTGCAAATGCTATCTGTCTGGCTTCTGAGGCTCACTAAATCCCCTCTTTCAATCATAATCATGGCAAACAGTATCTTCCCATTGTTCAGAATCCTAATAGTTCCATGAGCACAAAAGAGAGAGACTCTTGATTGGTCATCTGTCCGCCCAGACCCCAACCTGGGTTACCTTTCAAGGTTAGCTCTCACTGCCCTTCACAGAAATCTGTGCCCTGTGTCCTAGGCTCCTAGGACTGACATACATGGGCACAGTGAGGCTTTCATTGTGTTTAACCCTGCGATATTTCCTGCACACATTGAATTCTTAGATATTTAACTTAGTGAATGGCTCATGCTAATTTTTGACAAATCATATTCTCTGAGTGGTTGTTCTTGACCAACCTAGTTCTATGACTTTTCCCCCAGTGAAGCCATGTATTCCCCCAGTGTAGCAACTCCAGAGTTACTGATCTTTGTATCCCCTAAGCTTCCCAGATTCTACATGGTAAAACCTTTTAGGACAAACAAAAGTCAACTTTTTAAATAAGCGGTTATCATTTTGTTAAACTGTTAATGAAAGATGATGACATGATGTGTTGATGAGATGAACATCTGGTTGGTGCATATTTCTCCAGGTAGGCTTCGGTCCAGCGCGGCCAGCCACAGATAAGCTGCCTCACACAAAAGGCCTCGTGAGTTTTCTTCTCTTTTCTTTCCAGTTGTCTTCATCTGGCAAGTGGTGATAACTATTTTCAGAATCCTACTTTTACTTCTGTGAATTTGCATGTGTGACAAAAACAGTAGAAAACTTAAAAGTAGAAGAGTGAAATAAGTTAGTGAAAAGTGAGAGGAGGGAAAGTAGAAAGCCAAAAACAAAAAAATCTGGTTCTAATAAGGAAAGTGTGAGGCACTCTGTAGTATCTAAGAGGCAGAGCAGCTACAAAGAGCAGTGGGTAGAAACCTCCATCTTAGCATGTGTTGCCCGTTTCCTATACCAGCAAGGCCAGCTCTGCAGCCACAGAGGGAAAGAGA